CTTCCCATTCCTTTTCAAATATGTTAATTTTGTTATCACTTTTTAACATTTTTTGTTTTGTATACATGTTTGAACCAAACTAACTAACTAACTAATATATGTGTGTATAAAAAGTGATTTTTGTTGAGTTTTGTTTTTCTGATCAAAGGCAGAAACGGCCTCCGTACAAAGTAAGTAAAATGACTGGGACAATACAGAGAMTTTCTAATCAGCAGATTAGGACCAGATGTGTGAAAAGAGGAAAACTGACRAGAAAAAGAAGAAAACAAAACGTGGCTCTAAAGCAAAAGATAATCCATAAGAGGACGGTTTCATTCCAGCCTTAAAAGCGTGACGTGTGAAGTGATAAGTGGTGTTGCATGATGCATGGATGTCCCTGCTTCTAATGGAACCAGTCCCACTTGCATAAATTCATTAAACCCACCACTTTCTCAGAACTGCTTACGTCGTCGAAAAGGCACTCCTGACAGTTTTCCTGGCGCCGGGGTGGGGAGCAAGAGTCATGCAGGGTCCGTCAGCCAGCTGTCTCCTTGTCTCATTATTTGCTGTTTGTTGGGACGGAGATGAGTTCGAGACATCGGACGGGGCTACCTGTCATGGCCCAGCAGCTCTGGGTGGCTGTCGGACTCCCTCGAGGGCTGACCAGATGGCGGCCACGCTGTCAGGTGCTGAGGCTCACAAACACACACTTGCAGCACAAAATACTGTAGTTCAAACACAAACAAGCCCGGAGACATATCAGCAAACACAAACATGAAATTTGCACTGGGTGCACCAAAACAGTGCTGGCAGAAGGTCTGCTAATGCACTCAGAGCTGGGGGGAAGTTACACCTGTAGGTGCAGAATAATGAGGATTTTTTTAAAGACATTTACTGGAGAACCTTAGAGCTGTTTGCATTACGCAATAATGTGAATGAGTCAGTTTTCCTATTCTTACTTCCCTGTAATTATGAAAACTTTATTTTTCCAAAATCACGAGATCAGCGCTATGCATTTTAGTTTTTGCAAATTTTACATTTTTGCAAAAGTCTAACCTTATTTATTTATATTTTCCTATAAACATATGTCGCTCCAAAAACTTTATTTTTTTTAAATATGCTGCTCTACGGTATTTTGTCTTTTTATTCTAATTTTAGCTCCTAGCTAGACTTTTGATACTTCATCTTTTAGCTACTTTTTTGTATTGTTTCTCTTTTAGCTTTTATTTGCTTTTTTTAGCTTTAAAGTGACCGCGACATCAAATTTTTGCAATAAATATGAATGCATTTTTGGAAAGACAACATTAATATCATACAAGAAAACAATTTTCAAGCCGCTGGGATGAATTGTTGTTGAGATAATTCATCTAAAATAACAGGAAGTGACATCAAAGGGGAATGTCTGCATGTGAACAGAGTGTTATTAAAATGGCTAACAATAGACAGACTGTAGAGAAGAATTTGATATTTCTTTAAATTAATTTAAGTCACTATCAGGGACAGATGAAGAGGAGTTAGAGTTTAAATAGTATTTCAATAAACAAAGACCAGAGAGTTCCTTTTCTTAAATATTTCCCCTTTGATGTCACTTCCTGTTTCAATTTTGCTGAGCCAAGTTCAAAAGAAAATATGCCATTTATGTGACACAATGGGTGAAATTGTGTATTTTGTGTCAGGTTTTTTAAATATAGATGTTTTCTTTGACTTTTTGTATTTGAAGAATCTGCATGTCACGGGCACTTTAAGAATTCTGCTTCAGCAAAACCCTTTAATTCTCAGGATCTCACACAGCCTTTTGCAGAAAATATGTACTTTTCTTCATGAACATGCCTCCATTTGTGCACTTAAACACTAATATTATCCATTTTTCAGTTGTACTGCATAGGGTCTACTCCATAATTACAATAAATACCCTTATAAGCATCATGATCATAGCTTTTATAAAAAGCACCAAATAGCTGTGGTGTGTTTTTTTAGCACTTTGCTGCAAACTGCGAGTATGTAACTGAGTTGTTAGAAATTGTTATCTGCCCCCCCACAGGTCTAATTTAAGGGCAATTGCAGTTGTGAATTAGTTTTCAAGATGCTGTGCAAACTTGAGTAATCATTCCTCCGAGAGCGGTGCTCGTGCACTCATAAGTCTGGAGTGAATTCACGGAGAGTAAAAGCCACAGGTTAGCCACTCGTGTGAGAAATACTCGAAGCAGACTGCCTCACATGCAGAGAACATGGTCTCTCTGGAAAAACCTTACTGAGGTTTTGTAATTGGAAAGCGCTCGTTGAATCTTAATTTCCAATAAAGTTACAGCAAGCAGCTTATTTGATGCAAAGCTCAAAACAAGGTCACTCAAATAACCTTTTGAGTTTTTTTTCTCATCTTTGCTCTAATTTTAGTTCATCATTGTTATAGCAGAACATTACAGAGCAAAACTAGTCCCTGATAGAGAACATAATTTCAATTATATTCAAAGATAAATGCAAAATGACCAATTTACTGTTGCTAGAACATCCGATAGAGAAGAAAATGGAGAACAACATTCACCACACTGATGAATTACAGACTAAATGTTGCTTACTGGCAGTCTGCACCTCGATTTGATCAACAAGATTATCTGCTAGAGTTTATTTCTTATCTGAACCTGTAAATATCAAATTAGTTGTAGGTCAGAACTCATTTTGTCACCTCCACTGATCTGCGCTTTTGGTTTCCGTCTAAATAAAAAAAAATCCTTCTCCTTGAACCCATCTGATGATTTTTGAATAAAAAAATTCTGACACAAACAACATGTAGGTACGTGACAAACCCCACCTCTCAGCCAACATGAGCGTTCCGCAGGTGCATGTTTTGCAGGTGAACGTAGGGTTTTCAGTCCCCTCCAATTAATGAGTTTTTTTTATTGTTCTGTAGGGGTTTTTCACTGTTAATMTTTCATCATAATTTTTTTTATCAAATGAATTGTGTCATTTCATCTTGGAGTTCATCGGTGGTGAAACTGACGTTCTATTTCAACAAGCTTCTAAACACTTTCAGGCTTATAGCACTAAATAAAAAGTAGACAGCACCAAAATATAACATTTTATCTAAATGATGGCCGAATTTCGTGACAATCCTATAGGGCAAACGTGTTTTTTTTTTACCGTTTTGCTACCGTTTTGACGGAAACAAAACAAAAACAGTTTTTGATTAATAGTAAACATCAACAGCCAATGTTAAGAGCACGCCATTTCCTACATCTCCTGGAAATTTCGTCCAATTATCTCAAGAAATAAKGAAGTCCTGGCTGTTTGTTTTYGTTGCAGAATCATCACAAGTTTTCTCAGTTTTCAATGTTGAACCACCGGAAAAAAATTGAGCAATTATTTTTTATAGTAAAAAGGCCGTAACTTTCTTGTTCCATCACTAATATAGACAATACTGGTGCCAATCTCTTAGTTGTTTCCAACTCTATCCATTGCACTCCTGAAAAGAGCAATTCATGGACTTTTTCGTGTCTCACACCTACATTATGCTTTTATGCTGAAAACCCAATCGTTGGTCAGTTCAGGTCACTCCATGCCATCTGATACGCAACATAGAAAGCCTGAAATAGCAATTCAGAGGGCGGTGCTGAAATTTAATCACATCAGTGGAAGAACATCAGTGTGCAGCATTGAAAGAAAGAAGACTG